GAGTCCATTTACTGTCGGCAATGATTTTAACAAAGTGCGACCGCTTTGCTTGAGGACTTTGGATTCAAACAATGTTGTGATTTATTTATTTAATTAATTATTATCGTTTTATCTTTGATCTGTTGTCTTCAAACACGTAGATAACAGCAACTGTTCTTTCCTAAGCTATTTTCCAACGCTCTGGTTTTTGTGTGGCAGAATCAGAATTTTACATTCTGAATATTTTTCATGTTTCAAGCACAGGTCGATCTGAGAGGACCACCCAACGACTTTTATCCGACTTCACTCCTCTGGGCAGCAGAAACGAGCCTTTACGGTTTCACCTTTTAAAGAACACAGAGCAGCATCTCCAGATCCAAACACATTAAGAAACGAGCATTTCTTGAGAGAATGCACGTGAATCGACACATTTCAAGCCAAACTTTGAACAAACACGTCGTCCGCTGCTCTCAGAATACGTGCTGGGATGACTCTCAGGCACTACATCAAATTTACTGTGTAAAACTGAGTTACAGCCTGTAGGGTCAACGGTTTTAATCATTTATTTGATTTTGTTTACAACATGTAAATTATTATTTGGACGTAAATGATTTATTTGAGCTAGAAAATGTGCAGAAATGAATCAAACATCAAAACTGAAGTGATCCAAACGATTTCCCGGAGGCTTCACAGGGAGTGGGTTTCTCTTGACCACGATGGAACCGCTGAATGGTTTCCATTAGTCCTCCTTTGAGCCCATTAGCTGCTGAAGCACATCCACGTTTGTAAAACGATAACATCAAGAACGTTTTAACACTTAGCCGAGCTTTACTGCGAGCTAACGCAGGATACGAGGAAACCATTAATGAGCATCTGAGGCCCTCAGCACAAACTACAGCAGACGGACAGCATCCAGTCTGGTGCATGTGAAAGTTAACTCTCTCACCTTGTGTTCAAATATTCAAAGAAAAAGCTACAATTTATTTAACAATGTGTGTTTTTTGCCCCAAACTCACATTTCTGCTCATCATTAGCCTGCGGGGGGGCTTTTATCTCCCCACTCTGAGCTTTACAGCAGATAAGACACAAAGGCTGATAACAGTTTGACAACATCAGTTTGTAAATCACTGAAACTGAGAGACGCAAGAAAGAGCTCAGACGGACCAGAGTCAAACACTTTTTAAAAACCATTTGTGTTGTGAAGCGACTTGACAGACGTAAATGATCGTGTGATGATGTCATTGGAGCAGCTTCAGGTTTATCTTCAGAACATGCAGATGTGTATTTACGGCAGCTGTTTGAAGTCTCAGACTGGAAGATTCTGCTTCAGGACAAATGTTAACACGTGAGCTATGCAGGACGGCTCTTACACCAATTCAAACTCTGCTCGACTGAAAGAATTTGGATTGGACAAACTGGTGTTTCACACCCATTAAGTCTGAACCGTCAAAAGAAGCGTGAGCGTAATGTCACACAGACGACACACGAAGGTGGACAACACAAGCTCCAAGTGGAGAGCATCAGAAGAAGCTCTTCGTGCGAGACAGAAATGAAGCTCTCACCCTGTCAGTCGAGTCTGCAGCTGCAGGTCCTTGAGAGAACAAAAAGTTACTCCGTGTCTCAAATGGACAAAATAAAAAATCATTGACTGGTTTGATGTTTATCTCGTGAGCGTTGACTGATGCTGCTGCAGCTCCAGACGTCTCTGTCCTCCGAGCTTAAACTCTCTGACGTCCACACAGTCCGAACAGGCTCTCTGAGTGTGTGTGTCAAATGAAGCAGAGTGTGAACAAGCAAAGGGAGTGTGCAGGAGTGTGTACACTCCCTGAGAGGGAGGTGGCTACGAGCAGGGAGCGAGCGAGCAGGTAAAGTCTCACTCCCCCACACTGTTTGCTCAACCAGGATTTCTTTCATAATCTCTGAACGAAAGAGCAAAAGGAAGCTGCAGACTCGGGTTTACGCTTGTTGCACAAAAAACATCACCCAGAGCTACATGAGGTCCATTTGTCTGCAAACATGTGACGAGTGTTCATATCTTCAGCATCTGTCCTCATTACGA